CACAACCAACTGAAAGCAGTTTTACTCCAGCCACTCCCACTTTAAATGCCAGTGACGACGGTACCGTTAGTAATAATGAAAATGATAGTTTGGTATGCTCAGTTACCTTGTGTCCTGTAATGTGTGCACGAATGGAGGTGTGAGTGATCATAATGTACCCAATGTCTGTTCGTCCTCATAGAACCAACAGCTACTTGAGTCAAATCGACTTTCCATTGCCGATAGTGTTCAGAGTGCCTGGCTACAGATCCAGAGGTCCGGGTTCGATTCCCGGCGCTACCAGATTTTCTTCTGAAAAGTAGTTGGTATGGAACGGGGTCTACCCAGCCTCGTGAACATTGAGGAGCTATTTCACGGAAATAGCGGCTCCGGTCTAGAAAAACGAATTCAACTGCCGTGAGGATTCGTTGCGCTGACCACGCGACACCCTCTATCCGCAAAAGTTGGCACTGACTTCGCCGACAAGCGGCGGTCGCTCGGTCGGTATAGTTCACTTGCGGACTAAAATCACCGAGTTCGTTCAATATTTGATGATAATTCCAAGGTGAATGCGATGTTCCATTTGAACCAGTTGGACGAATTTATGAGACTCAGGGGGTCCCTAAATAATTCCAACTAGCTATTGCTTATATCAAGGAGGATGAGATGGGCAGGTCATGAAGCACGAATGGGGGAGACGAATGCGTATAGGATATTGGTGGGAAAGCCAGAAGGAAAGAGACCACAGGGAAGACCAAGGCGTAGGTGGGTAGACAATATTAGAATGGATCTTAGAGAGATAGGATGGGATGTTATGGATTAGATAGATCTGGCTCAGGATAGGGACCAGTGGAGGGCGCTTGTGAACACGGTAATGAACCTTCGGGTTCTATAAAATCCTGGGAAATTCTTGAGTAGCCGCTGATTTGGCGGCTCCTCCAGAAAGGTTCAGCTCCATGATTAAGTAAGTAAGTAAGCTATTGCTTATAAGTCAATTGTATATCCGGTAGGCAAACAGTGGTTAGCCGCTATTTCACACACGCTCACTAATTACGAGGAATTCAAAATTGTCTTTGCTAAAAACTATTGGTCTCAGTCACATTAGAACTTGGTGAAGTGCAGCATCTACCAAGATAAGTACGATCGGCAATCAAATTTATCGATGTCTATTCACTTTATAAAATATGCGGTGCTGGCGTCATATCTTGAGCCGAAACTTAGAGATGGAGAGCTGATAGACGCGTTGAGGTATCACTTCCATCTTTACGCCCAAATGGCTATGTTGGAGGATAATATAAGCACTATTCAGGGAGCGACTGACTTTCTCAAGAGGCTTAAAATGATGGAAGGAAATGACAGTAAAGGGAAGCCGAACCCTTCACACAATAACTTAAATCCCATGCCAAATGGGCGACCTGAGCATGGCCAACGGAATGGTATAGGCCTGACTAGCAAGTCCTGAGACAAGTGTGCCAGGATCACAGAACTAACTACCGAAGGGACAATTATGACAGAAGAAGTAGACATTCCGCACGGCACGATTCTTTTGAAATCGAGAGAGGATCAGGCGATAACTATTCCACTACCAGACTCACTTTCGAACCTGCCGCACCAGACTTCGAGACTAAAACCCGACAAGTGAGCAATAGTGGACAAAGGGAGACTGCTACACAACGCTTTCGGGAAATTCCAATTGAAAGGTGTTGCAGACCAGAAGCCTTTCACACATGAACACGGGAATGTTTTTGGTCCACTTTTTCGGCACGTTTTTGATAGTGATAATCATGCAGATAACTTGTATGTCTCGAAGGATGATCGAGCTTTGAATCCTATAGACGAACTAATTGTATTTTATATTAATGATAATAACCTAGGCGTCTGCGCCCAATAGACATTTCCTTCGGAGAACTAAGAGTTACCGCAGTGTTAGACAGCGGGGTGTCAGGTCAGCATTCTGGCAGAACTTGTGTATGAGAGGTTAGTAGAGACAGGAATGCAGATGTTAACATTGCCACTGGAAAATGTAGCTCTTATCACTGCTTTTGTTATCAGGATGCGGAGGATTAAGTTCCAGGTTTTCTTAGAATTTTGTATTGGAGAAGACAGATTTGAATGTGTGTTTTTAATATCACCTCAGTTGACAGGATCGGAGGCGATTTTAGGTTGTGATTATGCTCGTGAATATGGTGTTAGGATTGGTTTCGCAAAGAAATTCATGCATTACGAAAGGG